CCCATCGCTCAAGTTCGAATTCCTGGCACTGGATGCTGTTCCCAGCCTGGCCCTTGCCGATCAGACTGGCTGCCTCCGTTCGGATTCTTCCATGCTCCAGCCCTTTCCCTCGTCCCAGCATGTGCAAACCCTACACCTTCTCCAAACCCTCCCTTCCACCCCCGCCCCCCCAGCTGGAAGGGCAGCCCATAACTTACCTACTTCCTGTCCCTTCACTTTGCCCTTGTCTGTCTTCCCTGCCAGCCTGTGAGACGTCAAGGGCAGCAAGTGTGGCTTGATCCAAAGGCATGTTTCAGGCATGGTAGTATTCTCCAGGGAGAAATTGTCTGAGGCTGTGGCAAGGTTGGGGCAGGTGGTGGTGACAGCTGCTTGTAGCCCCCCCCCCCCCCGCCAGGCGCTCAGGAGGGCACTGCCCATTCCTGCCTGCCCATCTCCAGCCTTCCCCATGCCCCTTCCTTGTTTTGCTCCCTGAGAGGGGCTGAGAATTGTTCTCTTCCCCACAGAGCCTTCACCTCTGCTGTTCCTTCCACCTGGAACACTCTTATCCACCCTCCTCCTTCCCTTGACTGATCTCCTCGATCTTGGTCTAGACATCACCTCCTTCAGGAAGCCTCCCGGGCTCCCCCACCAGGGGCTCCATCACACTGTGGATCTACCCTCTTAGAGCAGCAGGACAGCATACAAGCTGAGAGCCTGAGATTTAAATCCCCAGCTCAGCCACGTATTAGCTGTGAGATCTGCGTGAGTTACTTAACCTTTCAGTTATCTCTTCTCTAAAATGGGAATAATAATGACAGAACCTGCTGCGTAAGGTTGCTGCGAGGAACCAAGGAATTCACACGCAGTGAGAGCTTAATGAGCGCTCAATAAATGTTCGCTATCGCTTCTATCTTCATATTAACAGGGCTTTCTTGAAGGGTTCTTCTCTTGGCCTGTGAGGGCAGGGCCTGTGTCTGTCTTGTTCACGAGTCTCTGAACGGTGATTGTTCATAATTGTTGAATGTATGGATGGCCACATTCCAACGATTCATTGCTCTGATAGGCAGATGACTTTTCTCAACCCAAAACCCTGAGATTCAGAGAGTGAGAAAGCAAGAGTGAAACTAATTCCTTGGGGTTCTTGGCTGGGTGAGGGGGTGGAGGGAGAGGCAGCCCAGGGCAGGAAAGGGCCGGTTTGTAGCCTAGATATGTATCAGGCCGCATAGCCCAGGACATGGGACCGGACTCCCCTCTGCCTCTGCTTCCACGTGTGCATGTGACCCGCATAAATCTGGGTCACCCTGTGCCCCCTTCTGGCCTATCTCTGCCTGGTGTTCCAACCAAAAGGAACACAAACTTGGCTCAGAAAGCCTTGACAAAACTTGTGAGAGTTGATGGAAAAGGCAGAAAAAGGCAGGAAAAGGGGGAGATTTTGTCCCACAAAATCCAGACAAACTTTCTAAAATGTTGACGCCTTTCTTCCCAGGGTTCAATTTGACTTGACAGCTGCTCTTCGTAAATTTTCCTCTGCTTCTTCCAAACTCTATCCCACCTTCCCCCACACTTCTGGGGCCCTGGCTACCTGGAATGTGGTCTAGAAGCAGGCTCAGACTTTGAGTGCCCACGACCCTTGGCCCTGCACACTTCTCATCTCGGGAAAGAGGTATGGCTGGCGGCGGGCTAGAGCAGGGCTCTTTTTAGTGCAGGGCCCAAGCCAGGGGCCCCCGTTTCCTGGAAATCAGGATCCAGGGGATTGTGTTATCCTCTTGCCTTTCTTTACCTGCTTCCTGGGCCTCCTCTCCTCCCTTTAATCATCGCTGTCACTTAATCACTTGGGTCGCTGATCTCTGAACTCTGGCCAGGGCAGTGAATGCCTAATTCCCTGGGCCTCTGACACACCCTCAACCTACGTTGCTCATCCTGGGGTTGCCCCACACAGCTGCCTAGCCTTGCCTTTGGCTGTTGCTTTGGGATTTTCAAGGGAGCAGGGTCATTTTGAATGGGATGCTGGGCCTCTGGGGAGTGAGATTCCCCTGGCGTCAGGCTCAGTGAGATTTGAGAGGTGTGCTGGGATCCTGGGCTGCAGTAGGAAGTAAGTGACTAGGCCAGCTCCATCACACCAACCCTCACCACCCAGAATGGACCCCTAAGGGCCAGTAGTGAACTTGCTTCTCTGTCTTCTGTCTCCTCATTTGCTCTTGCCCTGTGCGGCCCTCTGGTGGCATTTTTCCAAAGCCGGGCTCTGACCAGGTCCCCGGTGCTGGTAGATCTTTCATGGGTCCCCAGGGCCCATGAAACAAGATCCAGCCTCCTTACTTTGGCCTCCAGGGTGTTCTGGCTTCATGTCCTGCTGCCATCTCCCCTGACCATGTTCTGGCCACATGGGGTCCTCCATGGGGAATGCCATTGTCACTCCCACTGCCAAACACTTACCCTTCCTGTCTCCTCTGTCTGGGGCTCCCTCTTCATTTTCTTTCTATTGATTTGAGTCTCACTGTTCTTTCAGGCCATGGCAGTAGCATCTTAGTCCTGAGTCTTTCTCTGACCACTCCTCTGCACCCCAGCCAGCCCCAATCTCCCTTCCCATCAGGTCCTGCAGCTCTGTGGCTGTCCCACGTGTTACATCATCACCACTGATGGCCTGACAAGCAGCTCCTGCCTCTTATCAGGCCCACGGCTGAGCCCAGCACCATAACTTATCCATTTAGGGTTCACACCAGCTCTACAAGGTGGAGATTATTGTTTTCCGTGCTATAGATTAAAAAACTGAGGCTCAGAAAGGGAAAGATTTGTTCAATGTCATATTACAGTGGTGATCCATGAATTCAATCAACAAATATTTTTTCAATACGTACATGTGTACTATAGACTCTGGGTTCAAATCCTGATGCTGCCACTCACTTGCTGTGTGGCATTAGGCAAGTCAATCTCCTTCTCTGTGCATTAGTTTCCTCATCTGTAAAATGGGGATAATAAAGGTACCTATGTCATAGGGTTGTGGCAAGGACGAAGTGAGTTCATCTGGGTAAAGTGCCAGTATACAGTAGGAGTTTAATATGTGTCAACATGTTATTCTCCCATGAGGGGGTCGGGGCTGGCTTCATGGACAAGGCAGGCTTACAGTAGTGTGTAAAGAATTATTTTTCAATAGCTGGCCCAGGCCACAGCCTGCCATTCCCAGCAGAGGCCGGCCAGGGGAAAAGGGAAGAGCTTGCTTGCAGGGGGATTTGGCAGTAATGGAGGCTATGGGTCTAGACAGCTGCCAGCGGGGGTGGCCCTGGCTTCTGGCCATCCCTGGGACCCAGGTGTGCAGCTTCTTGGGCCTTGGCATGATTGGCCAGCCCAGTCCTAGAGCCCTGGGCTTCTTAAGTCAGAGCGGTGTTGAATGACCCCAGCAGGGTCTGTCCCAGGCCCAGGGTGAGGGACAAGGGCCACACTGTGACTCCATCACAACACCCATCACTGGCCAGTAGGGCTGCACACAGCCTTGGAATCCCTCCGACCCCAGCCCTCACTGGAGAGATTTGATCCAGACCTCAGGGGTGGCCCCTGGCAGGACAGGGCACCTAGAGCAGAAGTGGGTCCTGGCACCCTCACACTCTTGACTCCTTCCAAATATGCTTTTGGGAAAGGTCTGGCCATCGCTTACTGGCCTGATGGAAACATAGGTCTTGGAACCTTGGATGTCAATGTTGCAAATGGCTGATTAAAAAGAATGAAATAATGCCATTTGTAGCAACATGGATGGACCTGGAGATTATCATACTAAGTGAAGGGAGTCAGAGAAAGACAAATATCATATCATATCACTTATATGTGGAATCTAAAAATAATGATACAAATGAACTTATTTACAAAACAGAAACAGATTCACAGTCTTAGAAAATAAACTTATGGTTACCAAAGGAGAAAGGTGGAGGGAAGGGATAAATTGGGAGTTTGGGATTGACATATACACACCACTATATTTAAAATAGATAACCAACAAGGACACTGTATAGCACAGGAAACTCTGCTCAATATTCTGTAATAACCTATATGGGAAAAGAATTTGAAAAGACTAGATACATGTATATGTATAACTGAATCACTTTGCTGTACACCTGAAACTAGCATAACATTGTTAATCAACTATACCCCAGTATAAAATAAACTTAAAAAAAAAAACTGCAAATGGCTGTCCAGGCACATGATAGACAAAAGTCCAGAGAGGGTGGGTTAGCAACCAGAGATGCCCAGCCAGGGCAAAGGGGTGTGGAACTCAGGGCTTGAGCCACCTGTCCCAGGCTCTTTTCTTCCCCTTCCTGTGTTCCCTTCACTTCCAAGCAGCCCCTTGCTGAGAGATGCCTCCCACCCCCTCCTCAGCCAAGACAAAATACTAGAGTACCCTTTCATTGTTTATTACAAACACAAGTTCGCAGGTAAATAATTGAGAGTCTAAAAAAATACATTAAAATAAATAATCAGAATTTTCAAAGTTCTCAGAGCAAATAAGTTATATACAGACAGGTGAAGCAGACCAGGCCCTTCTCATCAGGAGTGTCCCCGGGTATGAGGGTACAAGGACTCTGGGGAGGGAGAGCTGGAGGGGACAGACGGGGCCCAACTGGGACTTCAGTCCTGGATAGACCCATCCAGCCTCTACAGCTGGCTTAGTTGTGAACGTCCACCACCACACATCATTCCTGGTTTGCAGCCACTAGACAGGACACCTCTTGGAATGTGGCCTCCAGGTTAGCGCACTCCTCACGCCGTTCCTTTCAGCAGGGCTGTCGGGCCAGAGCCAGCATGGGGGGCCGGGCTGCAGCCTGGGGGCTGATGGCTTTCCCGGGCAGTGTGAGGGCATGGAGCTGCCTTGAGGGAGGCCACCTCCACAGGGCGAGGAGGACAGAGCTTGTACCAACTCCAGCAGGTGGGTTTCCTGGCCCAGGAAACAGGCGGAGGGTCTCCCAGCCCTAGGATGCCCCTCTCCTCCCGGCTCCACACAGGCTTTCTTCCCAGAGTTCCTCCAGCTTCCAGAGCTATCTCTTCCTCCACCTGGAGTGTGTAGGCCTGGGCTCCCTTGTTGCTTTCTGCTGTTGCCTAGCAAAGCGGATCTGGGCTGCAGAAATGTCCCTGGAATCGAGAGAGGTCAATTAAGCATCTCAGGAAATATAGATCACTTGAGAGTTCCCTGTGAGAGGCAGTGGCCATAGGGGACGGATCCCTTACTCACAGCCATGGGGTCAGCGGGTGGCCACAGCTGACCCTGAAAACAAGGTCTGAACATCAAGGAGAGGCCAGACCAGGTTAGAAGCTGCTCTGCCCACAGGGAGCTTTGGCAAAACTGATGTTCAACATCGAGTGCAACCAGAGTGACTGGACGGCTAAGAGCAGCCCAGTGGATTCCCCCGACCGCCTTCCCACTTCCACAACTCTGTCCGCGTTGCTCCTTCCAGGCTGTTTACCTTCTGTCACCCAAACTCCACCCCCTAAAATTCCCATTCCTCAAGGTCCAGCTCAAGGTGGTCCAACCCAGAAAGGTATGGGTCCTAGCTGCCCTTTGAACTTGGCTGAGACGCTGGTGGGGACTCTGGTGTCATCCAAGTGGCCTCATCCTGGCTCAAGGCATTCTAGACTGGGAGCTAGGAGGCTGGCTTCGGTTCCCAGCTATGGGAACTTGGACAAGGGTCTCAACCTCTCTGAGCCCCTTTCTTGGTCTGTAAAATAAAATCAGGCCTCAACTTGTGTGAGACTGAGTACAGGTTGGCAAAGTAAACTCTTTGCTAATGACGGAGTGCCGAACACTTGCAAAGTCCTATTTTGAATTTTTTCATCCTAAGACAGTTCCTAAGTATAGGCTGGGTCCTACCTATCCCACCATCCTGCCTTTTCTCCTATGTTTCTGCTTCCCCACAGAAATGGGAGCCCCCGAGGGGCCAGGCTGCACCCCGGCACTGGCCAGCCACGAGGAGCCCTGAGGGACAGAGGTGGGGATGGCAAAGACCTCCAGAGCTCCCTCAGGCCAGGCCCTGTTTGAGTGTCTTCAGGTGTGTCAACCTGTCTAACCTACAACAAGCCCATGAGGTGGATGCACTGCTGTCCCCGCCTCACAGACAGGAATCGGAAGCACAGAGACGTTAAGTGATAAGACCAAGGTCACAAAGTTTGTTTGTGGTAGGGCTGGGGTTCAAGTCAGGAAGTTCTGGCTCAGAAGCTGCCCCTTTAGTCACTGCGCTGCATGGTTGCTGTGGGGTTTCTTTCTTTTTTTTTCTATTTTTCTTTTTGGCTGTGTTGTGTCTTCATTGCTGCGTGCAGGCTTTCTCTAGTTGCGGTGAGCAGGGGCTACTCTTCGTTGCAGTGCACGAGCTTCTCATTGCGGTGGCTTCTCTTGCTGCGGAGCACAGGGTATAGGCGCACGGGCTTCAGTAGTTGCAGCACGCGGGCTCAGTAGTTGTGGCTCATGGGCTTAGTTGCTCCGCGGCATGTGGGATCTTCCCTGACAAGGGCTCGAGCCTGTGTCCCCTGCATTGGCAGGCAGATTCTTAACCACTGTGCCACCAGGGAAGCCCGGCTGTGGGGTTTCTGTTCTCAAGTCAGTTTGGTTGGACAAACTTTCATGGGCACCTCCTGGGTGCCAAGCCTTGAGCTGAGCCATGCTGAGGCCGCCAGGGAGGCAATCCAGTCTGGGACACAGAGAGGGAGCAGGCCGGGTGGTTGGCCCCTCTGGACCCCAGCATGTGGGAGATGCTTGATTCAGACACAGCCTGAATGAATACCTGTGGACCTTCCACAGTCACAAGCCCTCGAACCCTCTATAAAAGTCCACTTCCAGGTCTGGTGGTAACAAAGAGCATAGTGGTTAAGAGCACAGGCTCTGGAGTTAGCCAGAGGACAGCTTGCTGTGTGACCTTGGGCAAACACCTTCACCTCTCTGAGCTTCTATTGGGAAATGTGCAAGGCATACAGAAGACGCTCAATCAGTGCAGGTGCCCCTCACCTCAGCTGCTGGAGGAGCTCTCCTGCTGTGGCCCATGTCTTGTCAGCCTGGAACACGGCTGCAGAGGACCCGCTGCCTGGGACTGCCACAGCTTCAGTCCTAAAAGAACAGCATTAGGGCCCAAGTGAGGGGCTGTTCAGAGCCCCAAGGCCACCTGGCTGCAAGCCTGGCCCAGCCGCCACCCACCGACCTGCCCTCAGGACCAGATCCATTTCCACCCTGTGCACCTGGCATCCTTCCTTTCCCCGGTGGGGTGGGGACTGAGGAAAACTGAGCTATGGGGAATGTGTCCTTAGCCTCAGAAAGAGGCAGCTGGGTGGCTGGCCTTCCCAGAATCCAGCCACCTGCAGCTGAGCCAGGCCCTTTGCAGGGGAAACTGAGGCAGGGGTGGAGACACAGCTGGAGTCTCAGGGGAGAAGTTTCTCGTAAACTGTCATGGGAATAGGAGGTTAGGGATGGTGAAGTCAGTTTCTACTTTCCCAAATGCTCCAAGTGGAGGAGGGAAGGAAGAAAGTCTCTCATCCCTTTTATAGACGGGAAAACTGAGGCCCAGAGGGTTCAGAGACTTGGCAAAGGCTCTCCCAGCAGCTCTGTGACAACTCTGGGATGGTGCCATGGCCTCCCAACTCCGAATGTTACTTCTCAACTGAGAAAGCTCCGAAGTTCCCTGAGCCTCAGGTCCGAACCCAGAACCCCTTGTCAGTGGACAAGGCCGAAGGCCCAGCTCTCCATCTGACTAGCTGTGTGGCCTGACAGGACCAGTCCTGTCCCCTCTCTGGGCCTAAGCTGCCTCAGCTGTCACCTAGGGAGAATCCCCCCTGCCCAGGAGTAGGGACGTAATGCTCTCAGAAGCCCCCAGAGCTGGGCAGTGAGAGGGGTTGGCACTCAGGGGTGACTGGTTCCCCACAGGAAGGTATGCTGCGCAACAACCCAGGGCAGCCTCTGGGCCCCTAGGACCCTGCTCCTCTGCTGGCCTCCCAGACACCCTGCCCTCCAGGGCAGATCCAGGCCAGCAGCCACCCCTGGGCCCTGCAGGCTGGGTGCCCACTTACCAGGGCCTTCGATGGCAGAAGGTGGCACAGGCGGGGTCCCTGGCGCTGTAGCATTCACAGCGCCTTGGCAGAGAGCGGCGCTGGCGTCTTGGCGGGTTTCCCAGGCCGTAAGGAGCTGTCTGTCTGTGGGCGGGCAGCCAGCAAGGTAGTGGTGTAGGGTGGAGAGAGAGAGAGAGAGAAATTGAGAGAGAGGATTAGATAAACCAGGACCGCTGGCAAGCTGAGACTGTCCACACTGCACACTGGGATGGCCACCCATGCCACCAGGGTGGCAGCAAAAGTAACCAGCTCCTGACCTCAAGAAGTCCCACCACAGGCTCCTCCTTAGGTGCCAGGTAGCCCAGGGCAAGACCCTTCCCCTCTCTGGGCCTTTGCTCCCCCTCAACTCCCACGGGTCCTGCTCAGTAGGACTCTCAACATGGGGAGGAGGGGGTGGAAGCCGTCCTTCCCGCCCCTCCCTGCCCGCCCGGACAGGAACGTGAGCTGATGCAACCAGGCTGGTCCCCCTGTCCTCAAAGAAGACCCTCAGCTTGTCCTGGAGGAGGGGAGGAAATGCCATCTCACAGAAGCAAACATGCAGGCTCAGAGCTAAGCTGCCCCCACCTGGTCACCACTTGTCTGGAAGGGTGATAAATGTTTCTTAGAGTCTGTTTTTCTGTTGTTGTTTTTTTAAAAGTTTTATTGGAGTATAGTTACTTCACAATGTTGTGTTAGTTTCTACTATACAGCAAAGTTGTTTCTTAGAATTTTGACTTAAAAATGGTGTGTGTGTGTGTGTGTGTGTGTGTGTGATCAGCTGAGACTGAGTTCAGATTCAGTCTGGCCAAGGCGGGCCAGGGGAGGGCAGGGACCCTGTGGCCGGTTGGACCAGCAACTTAGGTGCCAGTGCTAATTTTAGACGATGTGGTTGGAGCTGTAAAGACTCCAGGTAGACCCAGCACACAGGGACTGGCAGGGTTCCCGCCCTGAGCCAGTGTTTGGATGCGGATTAGCTCCACACACGCTTACGTGCCGGGCTTCTCTTGTCTTCTGTAATTTGGGTAAGGGAAAAAAAACACAAACACAGAGAAACTTCAACTTGAAGTATGCAGTGGCCCGGAGGCAGTGCGGGTGCAGACAGAACAGACAGCCCTGGGCCCGCACCCTGGCTCTGCCAGGTGACACAGAGCAGGTTTCTCATCTGTCATTTGGCGACAACAGCAGTACCTGCCTCATGGGGAGGATGGGGGTGGAGGGCGGCTCATGAGATGTTAATGCACAGCAGTGCTTGGCGTAGCAGTCAAGCAGTCAAGACATGGGTGCTGTCATTGATCGTATTATTCTTGGAACATTATTCAGAGGCAGCATGGTAGAGCCGCTGTGAGCTCTGGCATCCGCAGACCTAGGATGGAGCCTCCGCCTACCACTTACTCCTTCCTGTGTGATCTTGGGAGCGGCATCTAACCTCTCTGAGCCTCAGTACCCTGATCTGGAAAATGGAGCCAATACTTTCTTACCAGGCTATTGTGAGGATTCTCATGAGACAGCCCTCTATACTGTTCAGGCAGCCCCCACGTAGGAGTTGAAGCAAAAGCTGATTGATACTGATATTAGCCCAATACCCCCAGGGAGAGCTCTGTAGTGTGCCAGAGGTTCCCCGGCATGCCAGCACCCCCTACTCTTGCCCCCTGCAGCCCCACTTGGATCCCCACGGAAGCTCACCCGGGAGTGTTCACCCAGATGATGTCCAGGTGGCAAAAGTAGACGCACTCCTTGTCGAGCCAGGAGCTGCAGGAGCAACGGCGAGGCCGCGGGTGGGAGCCTCGGGCATGGGGCAAGGGCGCTGGCTGCTCTGGGGTGTGGGTGGCAGCGGCCTGGCTCTTGCCTGCATACACAGGAGGGAGAGAGAGGTGGAGAGGTGGGTCAGGGCGCCTGGCACAGCTGGGATAGGGGACCCGCCGGGCTCCTCCTCTTGCATAATTGAGGAAATTGGCATTCTCACTGCTCAGGAGCTCTGGGCCAACCCCGGGGAAGCCCCAGCAGCTCTGGGGGGGAAAGGCTAGTGGCTGCCCTGGGACTGCATCACCTCTAATTGCACAGCCCCATGCAGCCACCGTGCCTGCCCCTGTATGCCCTCAGCTGGCTTGGAGGGCACAGCAGCCCCAGGGGGAGACACAGACAAACAAACCCAGAGGCTGTTGCAGCAGCCGAGGCCAGGGAGCTCACCTTCGTGCAGGGCCACGAGCAGGGCTAGAGCGATGGAGCACCAGGCGGTGGGCATGGCGACCATGGTGGTGGCAGAGTGAGCAGGCTGGACCGGAGCAGGCAGCGCGCCTGTTGCCAGCAACTTGCTGCCAAGCTGAGCCGATAGCTCATTGCCTCGGTGCCCTGGCTGCCACTTATAACACCAGGCACGGCCCCGCCCCTGCCCGTCCGCCCTGCCCCGCTGCACCGGTGGGCCGGGAGCCAGGGACAACGCCTCCTCCCAGGGCGCCTGGCCCGCCCCAGCCCCCGCGGTGTGGGGAACGGGAGAGGGGAGGAAAGAGGGGGGAGGGAAGGCCCCTGCTCCTCCCTCTGAGCCTGGAGCACCTCCCAGAGTCCTGAGGCTCCCCTGCTGCCCCCAGGGACCACTCCCAGTCCCACTGGGCCTCCTCAGATAATCCCCCAAGTGTCCTGAGCCCCCTCCCTCACTCTCCGAGGCTGCTCCACAGGTCTTGCCCAGAGCTCAGAGTTTGGAGTGAAAGGTCCCATAAGCAAAAACCTCCCTCTCCTTGGAGGAGACCCTGCTTTCCTGCCTGCCTACTGCCAACCAGGTGGTGGGTGTCCCTTCGGTGGTGTGAGATCTGCTCAAGGCTGTGTGGCCTTGGGCGAGTCAGAGCCCTCTCTGGGCCTGCTTTCCCCAGTGAAGGACACAGCTCACCCCTGGCCTCCGACCAGCCTGGAGTTGCTTCCTCCCCCCTCCCCCCAGGAAGCACCCTTCTTCCCTTGTTCCCCAGCCCCCACCCCCACCCCCGGGGGCCTGGGAACAGGAATTCTGGTCCCCTCCAGAACCTATTCAGTTGAGCAGCCACCGCCTAGGACATCTCTCCTGGGCCTCAGTTACCTTGTTTGCAAAACAAAGCCAAAATCGTGGGTGCTTAACCTGTTTGGCTCATACATAGACTCCCTTGATACCAAGAAGGGGCCTTCAGGTGGCTTGTGGGCACACACATCCAGTGCCCCTTAGAAGGCCTCCCATCTCGGACATGACAGGAAGCCTTGGCTCACCTCTGTGACTTTCTGCAAAAAAGGCAAAGTGGTGGAGGGGCTCCCTGGGGGCCAGTGTTCTGCTCCTGCCCCTGTGCTGGCTCAGAACCCACCCTTCTCAGGGACCCTGTCTTCAGGCACAAGAGGAAAGGCCCTTTCATTTCTCGGAACTCCCAGAACCCGTGCTCTTATGCCTGACTCATGACATTGGGCTTATCTTCTCAATGATCTCGAGGTCCAGAGCTCCAAAGACGGCTGGGCCTGGAGCCTGCCTGCCACACAGTAGGAGCCTCTGAGTGAGTGCTCTCCGACGGAGGAGGAGGGAATGAATGAATAAAGGCCTGGATTTGAACTGTGGAAATTCAGGAACCCAGGCTGCCCAAGTCTTAGTTCCTGTGTTCAGCTGTTCTTTTACCATTAGACATTTAAGAAGGGAGAAATAGATGACCATGAGAAAACAGGCAGTTCTGTTTCTTCCCAGGGTTTGTGCATGTGTGTACACATGTATGTATGCGATCCTGGTAGAGCAGGGCAGAACGGAACAAAGAAGGGAGATACTTCCTTCCCCTAGGCTGGCTCAGGCTGCAGTGGAAGCAGAAACAAACATTTCTGAGCACCTACTGTGTGCTCAGGGCACTGCAGACCCCTCTCCTTCACAGCCCCGGACACAGCTCTTCTCATCTGGGTACCAGCTCCGCTGCTGCCCGGGAGAACATGGAGACTCTGACAAGAGCCCAGTCCGGCCAAGGTCACACAGCTGGTGGACGCAGAGCCCGGATGGGAACTTGGGTCTTGGTCTCTCCAGTAAAGCACAGTGACTCCGCACCCAGCGCTCACGCCCTACCCCGCCTGGTGCCTCTCTAAGTATTTAGAAGAGTATTTCTGGAATGAGGTGAGCAATGCTCTCAGTCATTTCTATGAGTCTCCAAGGGAATATAAATACGGAATTAAGCTAGGTTAGGCTTGGGGTCGGGGGTGGTGGGGGGGAAGAGGATTCGAAGTACTGAACCGTGAAGAGAAGACAGAGGAAAAGCAGGTCAGCGGGGAGAAGGAGGGGGTCAGGGAGGGGAAGAAAATAAACAGGGAGGCTGATAAAGACAGGTAGGGAGAGAGAGAGGGCAAGGAAGCTGAGTGTAGTGAGAAAGAAAGATCTCGGATTTGAGAAAGTAAAAGAGAAAAGACCATCGGAGTGAGAGCGAAGGTTCTAACGTGTCTAATCTTTGCACAAATGCAAAGTGCCTGCTCAGGACAATAGGCAACCAGAGGCTCCTAGTCTGGGAAGCATAACAGAAGAATTAAATGGACCAGGAGACAGGATCCTTCTCCGGTGTGAAAGGAGGATGACGACAGGGCAGGGGTCAACACCCGGCAACCAGGGTCAGCTCAGGAAGCTGTGCCCGACTCCAGTTTCCCTCTTTCCCTGCCCTCAGCTCGAGCCGGGAAAGCAGGGCTCCTGTGAAATGGAGAGGCCGGACCTGGGAACCTGAGTGAGCCCAGGTCTTATGGGGTGAAAGAATTCCGGGAACAACGTTACCCCACTGGCAAGAGTTGGTTTCCAGGTAGAGAAAATTAAGCTGAGTTAAAAACAGCCAGACCTGGGCTTCCCTGGTGGTGCAGTGGTTGAGAGTCCACCTGCCGATGCAGGGGACACAGGTTCGTGCCCCGGTCCGGGAAGATCCCACATGCCGCGGAGCGGCTGGGCCCGTGAGCCACGGCCGCTGAGCCTGCGCGTCCGTAGCCTGTGCTCCGCAACGGGAGAGGCCACAACAGTGAGAGGCCCGTGTACGGCAAAAAAAAAAAAAAAGCCAGACCCATCCCCCTATGTCTCTTGGCCTGGGCCCCGACAGTCACCTCTATGCCTCCTGGCTGGTGTGGCTGCACGGACCCCCAATCCCATTGCCCTGGCTCCTTCCAACTGCCCCAGCCAGCTGCTCTGCAGCACTGCCTCAACTCTCACCTGGCTCCGCTACCTGACTAGGCTGGTAAAGTCTACAGGTGGAGGGGCAGGGGTTCACGGAAGGTCACCCTGTCAGAAGTTGGAGGGAATTGTTTTGCACACAAAATAATTTGCTCCACGTATGCTTGGCACCAGCCTAATCCAAGAAGGAGAGGGCAGGCTGGCAGAAGAGGTGTATTTCTGGGTGAGACACCGTGCTAGGAACTGCCCTCTAGAAATCGTCTCTGCGCTTCACTCCCATTTGGCAGATGAGATAACTGAGGTCCAAGAGGAGGAGCAACTTGCTCAAGACAGTGATGGGCTGGACATGTTCTCTCGGCTGCTAATCCAGCCCCACCCTTTCCTGCATAGCAGTGAAGCTCCCAGGGGTCCAAGCAGAGCCCAAGACCCTGGGTCCCTTTGAGAAGGACTGTCAAGAAGGATCCCACTGGGATCTCAGGAAGACTGGAGCACTGGTACGGGTCTAGGCTACCTTCCTGTGGATCCCAAAGTTCCCTCGATCACCCCTGCGCTAGTAGTAAATTTGGTCCCATCAAATAGCTGTCCAGTTGAGTGGGATGGAGGATGCACAGGAGTGAGGTTTAAACGTCCTTGTGGTGACATCCAACAGGGCAGGAAAGGGCTGCAGCAGGTGCCTGGTGTTGCAGGAGCGGCCCCAGCTTTGCTCTTCATGCTGTGTGGGCAAGTCCTGTCCCTTCCCTGGCTTCCCTGGACAGCTTTCCTCCCTTCCCATTGACCGCGGGGTGCGTTCTCAGCTCTGACAGCCTACAACAGGCAGAATCAACCTGCGCTGAGTTTCCAGCTCCCCAAATGCAAGCCCTGCCGATGCTGTAACTGCATCACTATCGCTCTCGCTCCCAGCTTGGAACCCTTCGCTCTCTCGCCTTCTAGAAAACCGGCCACTCTCCTGTTGCCACCTGGTCCCACCAGGTTTCAGGAAGTTCTGTTTGCAGCCCCAGCAGAAGGGACACAGTGTCTCAGCTGCAGGCACATACCGTGCAGGCAGCTTAGCAGAGCGAGCAGCGGGGCAGAGGGGCTGGCCAGGGGGAGATGTCTGGAGCCTACAGGGAATGGGGGGCTGGGGAGGGTTTGGCTCTGGAGCCAACCTAAGTTGGGGATTTAGGGGCTGAGGGAAGTAAGACATTCCCATCATGACCTGCCCCCAAGCTGTGTTCCCTTGGCTGTGGGTCAGGACTGCCCCCACTTAAGCCTGGGGCCACTCAGCCTCAGGGCGTCTTTCCGGTGGGTGGTCTGGGCCTCCGGCCATAGACCAGAGCTCACCCTGAGCCAGCAGGGCCTGCCACCACCCACAGCATCGTCCCCATGCTCGGTCCCTGCAAGCGCGGCCTCGGCCCTGTGGGGCCAGCTCCCCTGGTCTCTGCCTCTTCCCTCAGAGGACACCCCCTTCCTAATTCTCCTCCTCCCTCCAGCTCAGCCCATTGGAAAGATTTATAGGTCCCACATAAACTACTTTTAAAGGAATAATTCATGTGCCCTGTCTGTTATTAATCTGAGGGTAATCAGAACAGGGTCAGCGAGGCCCATGGAACTGCTGGAATTTCAGCTAAAAACAGACACTGTTCAGTAAAGGCTCCCTTGTCAAGAGGCATGTGAGTCCAGCTGGACTTTCTGAAATAAGAAAACCAACCCAGGGACTCAGCATCCAGGATGGAAATCTTTGCACTTGAAGTTTTGGAGTTACCTCCAAAATGCTAAGGGCCCAATTCCCCACTGGGGTAGGTGTGCATTTCGTGAGCTTTTAATGTATTCCAGGCTCTGCACATAGCACAGGGAGATCAGCTCGGTGCTTTGTGACCACCTAGAGGGGCGGGATAGGGAGGGTGGGAGGGAGGGAGACGCAAGAGGGAGGGGATATGGGGATATATGTATACGTATAGCTGATTCACTTTGTTATACAGCAGAAACTAACACACCACTGTAAAGCAATTGTACTCCAATAAAGATGTAAAAAAATATATATATTCCAGGCTCTGTGTTAGGGGATTTACATACATTTATCTCCATTAATTGTCATAACATACCTAAGGGGTGGGTATTATAATTAGTTCCTATTTTATAACTGAGGAACCTGAGGCTCATGCTTTGCCCAACGTCACACAGCTAGGAAGTGGCAGAGCCAACACTGTGTAACTCCAAAGCCCTAA